TAAAGTATCGCCAAGCTCCAGATCCAACCTGGAAAGGCCCTACACCGCTGATCACCTGGGGTCGCGGTTACACCACCGTGGAAGATCCTTCTACTCGACAAGCAGTGTGGGTTCCAGTGCGTTATGTTCGTCCGTATCATGGCATGGCATCAGGGCCTTCACAACCCGATTCCAGATTTCAATCTTCATCTGAACACGGAAGTCCATCTTCCAAGGTTGATGTGCCCGCAACCCATCACTTGGGGCCAGGTTAAATCTACTACATATCAAGCTCAACAACAACTGCAACAGGCCTCATTACCTCAGACTCCTGAAAATCTTGTTGCTGCTATTTTTGCTATTATTACTGCTAACTCTGTTACCATTTTACTTTGTATTTTCTTGTTTATGTTTAATGGTGTTTCTGCTCAAAATGACACTTCTGTGGTTCGTCTTAACCCTAATTTGTGGGTTCGTCATGCCCAATACATGTTTATGCCCATGGCACAAATATTACTTTATACTATGAGCCCCCAATGGCATTTGGTCAAATTTCTTTTACCCCTAACTTGATCATGTCTTCTACATTTATTGTCTTACAACTACAATCTATTTCACACTCCTGTCTATTTTCTACACCCCCTATGCAATTGAATTCTGTCCATTGGCGTTACTTGAAAGTTAGTCAATTTACAAGGGGTCTGTGTTTCTGTTGTCACGCTAAACACACTTCATAATTGGTCTGATTATGATGCTGCTCAGCACATATTAAAAAAGCTAGGGAGTTATAGTTATTGTTCTGACTACTATTGGTTGTCACGTACCCTTAATTCTTCTTTGCATGGAATTAATATAGCTCCTGATATGTATCATGACAATTTTCCTATTTTTAATGCCTCTGATCAATCTAATACAGGATCGATATGCGCTGGTTGGCAGCTTAAGGATCCTAATATGTGGTTCTTTTTTGATAAATATGCCACTAATGTTCATCCTCAGAATTATCAATGTGCAACTATGTTATTTTACTCTACCTGTTCAAATAGGTATGCTCCCATCAACTCGACAGCAGCGTTCCTCTCTGGGGCCTACATGTAATGATGAAGTCATTATTGACACACAGTTGTCTTCTGGTTCTACATTTGGCCATGCATTGGCAGGGGCCGTTACAGGAGTCCTTACTCTAGGCTCTTATCCTGGCATAATTGCTCAAGAAAACAGACGATCTATTCTTGGTCTCACCTGCAGACTTGAAAAATCCATCAATGCTACCGCTGCTATTATTCGTAATTTGCAGCATGAAATAGAAGACTTAAATCAAGATGTCTTACAGCAGCGTTTTGCCATAGACTATCTTTTAGCCCATCATGGAGGGTTCTGTACGTTAGTTGGACACCGTGGATGTGCTGTGCATTTTCATTCTTTGAATAAAACTATTGAGGATGAGCTTGCCAATTTACAATCATACATTCAAAATAATATCCATGCTCATTACTCACCTTTTGAGTGGCTAACCAATTGGCTCCCTGATTGGTCTTGGCTCAGACAGTTTTTCTTTTATGCTCTAATTATTATTATTGTACTAATTGCAACCTGTTGTTTTATTCAATCTATTCCAAATTTATTCGCATTGTTTCGTCCCGCTTCCCCCTCTCTTAACCCTCTACAATTGCGATACATTTATAAATCTTTGAATCCTCCATTTAAAATAAAAACCGAGGATATGTAGAATTGTAATTGCAGGAATGTTCCAATCTCGGATGGCAAACCTCAGATAAAGAATGTTTCCAAGCAAATACAACTCAGGCAAACAAAGTCACTAATCTATGGATGAAGGAGGATTAGAGAGGGGAAGTAGACATATGTTAGACTTTAACTAGAGATAATTGTATGGATTACTGTACTAAACAGTAGCGAAAGTTAAGCAGTAACCAAAGTTAACCAATGATGGAGGATAACTAAAAATGTATATAAATGCAAGACTATACTCCAATAAAGATCATCATAATTCAGTTGTTCATGATCAAACAACTCGACTGCCTCGTCATTACAACACCGAGATGAGGTGGACTGGTGGCTTTCATGGTGTGGAGACAATAACTTGGTCTTCAACACCAATAAGACCAAGGAGCTTATAGTGGAGTATAGGAGGAACAGATCAGACGTCCAGCCCTTATCAATGGAGACTGAGTGGAGCAAGTGGCCAGTTTTAAGTTTCTGGGTGTTACCATAAAAGAGGACCTGACCTGGGGTGCTCACATTGCAGCATTGGTCAAAAGGGCCCAGCAGAGATTATACTACCCGAGACTTCTCAGAAAACAACTGAATGAAAAACTGCTGGTGACCTTCTACCGCTGCACCATAGAGAGTATCTTAACTTACTGCACCTCAGTATGGTTTGCCAATTGCACAGTGGCAGATAGGAAAGCACTCCAGAGGTCATTGCCCAGATCATTGGTTGCCCTCTCCCCTCTTTGGAAGAGCTTGATAGCTCCCGCTGCCTTAAGGAAGCTCAAAACATTCTCAAAGATCCATCTCATCCTGGGCACCCATTTTTTTAACTATTACCATTTGGCAGACGATACAGAATAAAAACAAGGACAAATAGGCTGAAAAACAGCTTCTATCCCAGGGCAGTAACTCTACTGAATTCTACTGTATAGTGCAATATTAATGCGATATCAGGGGTTTTCAATTCAATGTGTGGAGTGTGAGGGATGTGTGCTTGTGTTTATTTTCATAAATTGTACACTGAAGATAGTATTTAATTTTGTTGTACGAGGTGCAATGACAATAAACTAAAATTAAACTAAACTAGATGCTTCACCACCCTTACTGCCACAAGGTAGGCCTTGTAATGGCTGTCAGCCATGTTCGGTGAATTTCACCTTTCTTGAGCACCATAATACTACAGTTTTTTTTTTTTCAAATTCCTCAACTCTGTGAGTGAAATTGCATGGATGTGATCTGATCTAAAGCTCAGCTGCACCCCATTCTAGGCAGTGACTAAGGTTTCAGATGGACTGTGCACCAGACCAATAGGAACAGTCCCCAATTCCCTCTTTCATCCAGGGTCATCAGTCACCAGGGATGGGTAAATCGAATGGATCAAGCCTCCCTGCCACGGATAGTGGCACTAGAGAAATCCATGATCATTAGGAGTTGATTTGATCATGACAAAGGAAACTCTAAGAACTCCCATTTCAGAACATATAACCACTGCTCAGATGTGACTGCCATTTACATTCTACCCTTATCCAATTCAACTAATATTTTTCTTCCTGTTATTTTCCGATTTACAACTTTAGGCACTGGATCCTAACAACAAATAATTGTATACAATGTGAAGAATCAAAAGTATCACTGCATATGCTGAACTGTTTAAATTACCAATTAAATTAATTCAAATGGATCAATTGATGGGAACCAACTGGTCAAGAAAAAAATTGGAAGGCTGAGACTGAACACTACTCTGTAGCTTGTTAAAATTCATTTCAAAATTGACGTTCTCTTGTATTGCTTTCATATGCTAAAAGAACATACCTACTGGAGAATGCATATTCAATCCATCTTATCAATTTCAAGCCAGAATCAATCAATACCCCAAATGCATAATTGTAGGCATGAGACAGTATAATTGCTGCTTGCCTCATGTTCTGCATGTGCATCTCTTTCCACCCCTTCCACAGCTCTTCTGATGTGTTTGTACATATACCTGTACACAGAGTGATAAAATATTTTTTTCTCAAGACCATACTCCAGGCATCTGCTAAAGTGGGCTGTGATCCAGAAAATGTTAGCAGTCATAGATGTATTAGATTTACAAGTGCCACAAGTCTGTTATTTCTGTTGCATGAGATAAGCCATCCCATCAGGAACTGCATTATAGTAGTTTTCAAAAGTAATAGATGCATTAACATAATGCAGCAAACATATGAGAAAAAAGCCAGTGTCTTAAAGACAATTTGTAAGTCACTGGCACAAGATACAGGTGAGGTTCAATAACTGTTTGTTATACTAGAGTTCTTCTCCAGGCTACTCACCATTTGCTATTTTGACTCATAGTAGCTCTTCACGGTTTCAGAGATCTTTCCCCTTATTTCTTATTCCCCCCCTGCCCCCTTTAGCTGAGAAACCAGAGAATAAACCTGGGGTCTTCTGCATGCAAATCAGGTGTTCTATCCCTGAGTACATTTAATAGCACCATTAAGGCTGTAAATGCAGACACCCTATAATAGTACAGCCCAGATACCCTGCATCAGGATGCCTTCCAAAATGAATGGATTCAGATTGGCAGGTCTCTTATACTGTCACAACGGGGAGTAAATGATGGCATCCACTTCAGCAGATTATCTAGGGAGATCTGGATGATCAAGGGGATCAATTGTCTGGCTCATGGAAAGGAGCTCATAACATCCAGGTACTGTGCCTGCTGTCTACTCACAACAAGTAGAGTGATCCCTGTGGAAGTGGCTAACTGGATGGTCAGTTGGCTTTACTGCTATTCTTTCATTAACTGAGACATTCCTGGGTATATTTTCTTCAGTGTCCTGCTTTTCAGGTAAAAAGCACAAACAGGAGAGTTTAAAGATTAAATTAAAATACCTCAAAATCTTTTGCAATCTCAGAGAATCAATTCAAATCATCTTATGCTGTCAAGTTTCAATAAATCATTTTAAATGTATAAAAGGAACAATACTCGGATTGCTTGGATTGGGATTTTAGCCATTTAGTAGAAGTCAATTTAGTCCTATATATTTTATATGTATGAAGACCTACATTTAAGCTCTGGCAGTGTCACAAAGAAAATATAAAAAGCTGCCTCACATTGAAATTATGTTCATCATACCATACTGTACCGTACTATACCATATCATAAACCATACCATACTATACCATACCACAGACCATACACCACAACACTACCATATTTTGGATCTCAGCTAGAAGTTGCATATGACTATTATAGTTTTTTACTTTTACTTTCATTACCAAATATACAAAAAAAAGTACAAAATTAATTCTGGTATAAATACGAAGTCTATTGAAACATCTTTACTTTCATTGTTGAATGATCCAGATAATATGTCCATTGAAAAGTAAATTATGCATTCTAGTGTACTTGATCTTAAGTACTGTGTATCAATGGAGTCGGATAAAATCTGGTATTTGGAAGGTCAGTTCTTTCTCTTTTTTATTTTTTTGAGACCACCCATTTCACTTTCTGAAGATGGTTGAAGAAAAAAGATGTAATGTTCAATTATGAACTATGAATTATCTTCTACCAGAGCACATCAAGATGTTTCTCATACCAACCTAATGTTCCCCATTATACATTGGTCCAAACTGTGCTTTCAACTCTGATAGGAAAGACATTATTTATATTGTTCAGAGCAAGATGATATTCAGATAAAACCCACAAAATTAGTCCACTATGTATTGCGGCATATAAATCTTGAGATGTTTCTTGATATGCCAAAATATTACTAGTACATGAAAGTCTTTGTTCAAGGAACTTATTCCAACAGGTTTGGATGTTCAATCCATGTAATCATCCAGTCTGGCTTCACACCCTGTGTGAATTCTCTTCGAAACCTTTGGGGAAAACAAAGTAAAATAATGAAGAGACAATTGCATAAGTCAAGCAACAAACCCTTTGTGAATGGCCTTAATATTACAAACATAAATGTAGTATTAAAGTGGTGAACAAACATAATACTAAAAGTAGATTTAAGACTTGGCTGCCAAATCTCTCAGATAAGAACTGCAATCTGACTTAAATTGACAAAGCAAGAAACATAGCAGATTTCAGGAACATCTTAATAATTGCATCAATGAACACTTCCATTTATTAAATGAACATTAATGAAATCTGGAGGTTTATGCAAGTCATACCATTAGGTTGAAGGCAGAAGGCATGTTGAGCATACAAAGGAACTGGAAGCCCTTATGCTACTTCCAGTAATTAATGTTGGAATCTTTGATTGACATAGAAAAAGGCTGTGCAAATGGAGCAACTGGTTATCCAAAGTACTTGTTCTCATTGTCAACATTCATAACTGATACTTTTTATTTATTGCATCCCTTAAAATAATAATTTAAAAAAGCAGAGATGACTAGATCAGACACAAACATCCAGTTGGAGCCAGAGAAAAGTTATAGGAATGAACCAAAACGTTCCTGTCATTCTGACATTGTTCTTCAAGAACTATTATTCTTTGCTTCAGTATCTATTAATTATTAGAACCATCTGAGGGTTTATCTCATTGGCTTTGATTATTATTCTATGCAAAGTCCCTCGTATTTTCAAAAAAAACTCCAAAACCATAAGAAAGCATGATAACTTGAAACCTTGATCTTCAAAGAAGGAAGATAAATCTAAAAGTCATCAATGCAAAGAAAAATATCAATTGTGATCTCTATGAAAAATTGCAAGAAAATATTTTAAGTGATACAAGATTCTGAAGTTTTTGTGTTTTAACTATACTCAACAGAAAATTGTTGGGGGAAAATAGAGAGATGACATAGACCCCTATTCATTTTTATTTTTCAGTTCTTAGAACTGGAAATCTACACAATCTTCTGCTTAAGAACCATTCTCTCTAAACATCTGCTTTTCATTTACAGCTAAGGACAAAGGCTGTAAAGGCTATATTTAACTGCCTTACTAAAAGCCATCCTCATATTTGGATTTGTATGTGCGAATGCTGTTCTGGCTTTCATCACTCTTGAATAGACATCCCAACTACATGTTCTGCAGATGTGCTGGACATTAACTCCCATAAATTATATAAGAAAGAGAATGTAAGAGAGAATCCCACACAGTATAACCAGTATACACCAATACAGTCCTACAATACACACATTTTTTTTCTATAATACATGAATGAAAAAAATGTGGAGAAAAAATGGTTTGCAGTTGGAAATACAAAGTGATATGTTTTTTCCTGAAAAGCTTCTCAAGGACAAATGTCTACATTTGATCCACCAAAATGGTTTTTAGCCACTCGTGCACTCCCCAAATTTGGTCCAAAGAGTCTTTTTGCTCCAGACTTTTGCAAATAGCTTTAAGGAGGAAACAGAAATCCTGTCTGCACAACCTCTCTTCTGTGGGGGATGAAAACAGTTACACAAGACTGATTCTTGCAAGACAAACTTCTACTTTTTCCAATAGAAGAAAGGGAAAAATATTTTTGAGCATTATTTTAAAAGCAGTAAAAGTAATAGAAATATGGCAATATATGTATTTATTAAAATACTGTTATGCTGCTGGCCAATGAAATATTCTGGACTACAAACAATATAAAAGAGGTATCCTATAATCACTCCAATCAAACATTTTCATTATATATTATCTTGTTACAGTATTAACTCTTCATTGTTCATTTTATAAACCAATCCCATCTGTTTAGACATCTTTCAGGCTAAAATAAACTAATCAGACAGATAAATTGTCCCATCCAGTTTCTCCTTTATAAACTGATTATAAATCTTTGCCTTTCTGAAAGATCAACTTAAGCTATTATTGACTTCCTAGGACATTTTGTTCATACTGCACTGCTTGTGATCTTTATCACTGACCTTCCAATAAATTATTTTTTTCTCTTGATTAGTCAGATATATTGCTCAAGATGCAGCATCACTTATATACTACAGAGCTAACCTTGTTTAAAGTACTCTGAAGTTTCACCATACCTGAAGAACAAAACCACGGTCAGGTAGAAAAATCAATGACTTACTCATAGTTTGCTAATAAAAGATGTCTTCTTTTTGGTGTGCTTTCACCTCTAAGCGCAATCTGGAATACTTTGGCTCCTTCTGGAGTCTTATCAGGGATGTCAGCACTGCTCAGATACCAGAACGACATCAGGATACTAACAAACTTCCTGCCTGTTTACAGCGCAAGATAGATTTGGAAACAGAGAAAGACATCTTATATGAAGAACACATCTCTCTCTTTTTCTAACACACACACACACACACACATACACAAACACATGTACAAATTGTGAAAAAGCAGGATAGCAATGGCTCCAAAGCCTCTTTCAGAGACAAAGCATGAATTGCCACATACTTGGTTCATGTATTAGGCTAATCTAAAAATTACTTTTCCAGAGTTTCCTAAATACGTAACAATTAACATACATAACAAGCAGGATGCAGACCAACAATATTATGGATTAACACAATGCACAAAATCAGCCAGAATTCTTTTTTGTTTTTTTTTTGGGGGGGGGGGCAGCATATGTGACTCTTCAACCATGACCCACTCATAGTTGCAGCCAACTACTTTCAGCTACCAGAGAACCTATTAACTGCTTCCACTTCCAACACAGGTTCTCCTGAATTTTCCCTTCCCAGCAAAAATCTAGGAAATGGTATAGACACAAATCAATTGCTTTCTCCTACTAAGACCAACACAACATAATTCTATGTATGTTTGTAGATATCAAATGGGAAAATTCATGGCTTGGGTATGAATTAGAGTTATTACTGTTTCTAATATTTGCCATTCAAGTGATTAATTCAACTTAAAAAATAAAATTAGGAAAGTTGTTTGTCCTGCTGGACAACCTACAAGAGAGAAATTAGCTCTGTGTATTTTTTTTAAAAAATATTATACTACATCAGATCTCATACTGATTTCTTGGAGTATAGTTGATGATCAAAGGTGTAAAAGGCCTTTCTCACCAATTTCTGAATAAACATTAGATCTATATTTGACTAGCAAAGCATGGATCTTCTTAAAGAGCCAAGCAAACTCACTCAGCTTCTCAACTGCACGTTGATATAAAGTCCATTCTGCATGTCAGTTCTGTTGTTTTAGAACAGTATCTCAGGATCCCTTTACATTTTTAAAAATGATTGAGGACCCCAGGGAGTTTTGGTTTGTGTGGGGTATGTCCATTATTAGTTACTAGTAGTAACTAAGTAGTAATAGAAATTAAAACTGAGAAATTAAATAAGTTATTTGACTTCACGGGCCCTCTGAAAGGGTCTCAGGAACCTCCAGGGACTCCTAGATCACATTTTGAGAGACATTGTTTTTTTTTTTAAATAACCACTTGATTTTACTTGGGGCCAAAAGATTGCTGGCAGAATGAAATAGCGACAAATCAGACACAAGTCAAAGTAGCAGACAGATGCTCAACATGAATACTTAAATGGATAGAAAATAATTTTTACGCATTATTTAAAAAGACTGAGGGATGCTTTTAAGGAATGTGAAATAGAATGAAGGCATACCACTGTCATCATAGTAAATGCCTACATCTCCTGTTGCTGTGAACATAATTTCATCCATCTCCGCAGCCAGGGCTTTTCTGTGGTTTTCAGACAATGAAGAGAGCTTCTCTCTTAACACCTGAATCATCTGGATTAGAAATGGAATTGTTAATGTTAGTGCTTACTAATTCCTTTACACCAACTCACTTAATCAACCATGTAACAGTTATATAAGATATTGATAAGATATTATTGAAAACTATGCTGCCATTTCTCCCTGCCATTTCAAAAGTCAAGTATTTTTTTAAAATCTCAGTCTTGCTTTAAATAATTATTAGATGAGTCTGGTTATGGTTGATTTCCTTTGTGTGGATTCTGAAACTCCCATTTAATGTAGAAACTAATAATTTGGGAAGGGGAGAGAACCTCTTTCAATGAGTGGCTATTGTAGACATTACTTACTGATGAGAGAATAGTCTTCTATAACTAGTCTCTCACAACTTTTTAGTGACCATTCTAAATTCCAACGGCACTGGAAAAAAAAAGAGTAATGAATGGTTTTCACACTTACACTGCAGCATGCCCATGGACATGTGATCAAAATTCGGATTCTTGATAACTAGCATGTATTTATGGCAGTTGCACTGTCCCCAGGGTCATGCAATTTGTGACCTTTTGTGACCTTCTGACAAGCAAAGTCAATGGGGAAGCCACATTCACTTAACAACTATGCTACTAATTTAACAACTGCAGTGATTCATTTAACAACTGTGGCAAAAAGAGAGTGTAAAGTGGGACACAACTCACTTAAAAGCTGTCCTGCTTAGCAACAGAAATTCTGGGCACAATTGTAGTTGTTAAGTCAAGGATTACCTGTGTGTCCTTAAAGGCACCCTTATAAAACATTTAATAGTTCTATTAAACTTAGTCTTTCTTCTAAAAGCCATTCAAAGCTGATGCTGTGGAAAACTGACTCCAGGTAAGATCTGCTAAGTGTTCCACTACTGAAAGTCATGCCCACAATCTTTTGGAAGGTCTTGGATATTCAGACCATCCCTTTTTTACTAAAAGTTATTATATTAAAACTGTAGGCAGTTCTGTTTTGGAAATGAAGTGGCATGAAAGTTGTAAAAAATAAATTAATTAAATCCTACTTTTAGAAATGATAGTGCAGCTGAAGTAGATAAACTGTGAAAAAAACTAAGTTAGAATAAAGGGAATAAACAGTTATAGTGGTTAAATTACACTGAAGAGAAAACATAACCTGATTGCTGCCCCTTTAAGAAAATCAAATCTAAGTTGTCAGTTTCTAGGAATAAAAAGCTATCAATTTATATGCTATTTGCTTGTTCTCTAGGAATAGAATATAAATCCAAATTGTTTCTTCCACTTTTTGATTAACTTAAGGCAATGGTTTCCCTTCTCACACTCTTCAATACACAGAAGTTCAATGCTTACAATTTTTAGCCAACATATAGGAGCTGACATCTAACAAATCCACTATGTTGTGATAAGCTGGCTGATATTGTCCTCTGTAAAAAGAAATGTTTAAGGAACAGCTAGGAGAATCTGGTTTTTCACATATGAGAAATATTAAATATTTACCTCTTTTGATACAAGTTCTTCCAATACATCATATTTACACTGAGAAAGTAGCCTTGAAACAACAGTAAAGGCCTGGAAAACAGACAAATGCTACTTTAATTAAGATTAAGCACAAGTTTGCAGCTCAACTACATTAATGTGCTTCTAGTGAAAACATTATTTCTAGTCTTTCAGTATTCTCAATTTGAAATGCAGAATCCTGCAGAAAAATGCAGGTTCTATAGACTAGAATGTAATGTATTGTTGTCTTTGTGCATATTTAAAAAGTAAATAGTTTAGGTTCATTTAATGCAAAATACAGAAGGGCATTGTGATTTTATTGAGCTAAAAACTGATGCAGTAGAAAGAACCACAACCACAGGCAGAGTAAGAGGACGAGAGCCCTCCGCTACTGCACAGCCATAAACACCATTTCATTTAAGCAGCATTTGCTAAACGAATCCCAAAGCTTCCTCGGAGGAGTGTTAAAAAGAAAGGGGGGGGGGGAAGCCGCCCTTCCTTTTAATATATAACATCCCGAAATGTGGCGCGGCGGTTCAACCAACGACTTACGTGCTTCGCCCCTTGCATGAACTCCTGGACGCTGAAGTCGCGGTCGAAGTAGGTGCGGATGAGGAAGAAGTAGAGGCGAGTGCGAAGCCATCTCAAGGGGTTGGGGAACCCCAAGAAGACCGCTCGCTCCTCCGTCTTGGAGTCGCCGTTGCCGCTGCTATAAAAGCGCGCGGGGGGCAGCGGTCGAAACTGGTATCGGCCAGAGAGCGGCAAGAGGTGCCCGACCCCTTCGCGCTGGGCGGCTGAACCTCTCTGGAGGGCGGGGAGCCCCCGCAGCTGCCAGCACCAGCAGCGCCTGCAGAGGACTCCCCGGTTCAGCCCCATAACTCCCCGCCTCGGCCCTCCCGTCATGCCGCGGCGACGGAAGAGACGCGGGAGGGGATCGGCAGGTGGTGAACAGGCTTCCCTCGCGGTGAAGGAACGGGCTTTGCGCCGCCCCTCGGGGCTGGGGGGGGGGGGGGGGGGGGGGGGGCGCCTCGCTCCGCCCTTGGGTTGTACAGCAGGGGCCAGATTCTCCTCGCGGCATCCCCTCCGACGGTGTTTGGGCCCTTGGGGCACGGGGTTGGGGGGTCTACTGGTTTTGCGAGGCCTCGTTGCCAGCGGAGGGAAATCACCGCCGGACCCAAAGGAGGAAGTGACCGAGCGGGGACATGGAGAAGCAGCGAGTCCCGCAGTATACCGGGATTCCTCGGGAGCGTTTTTTGCAAGACGTCTATCCCCTGGTGGGTGAAACCCGGAGGCTCAAGCGCTTTCTTTCCGTTTCTAAATAACGTGGCAAAGAAAGGTATGACACAGAGAATCAGCGTAGTGTAGTGGTGGAGGTGCTGGCCAAAAAACCCAGACTGAGTTCTAGGCCAGTCTGAGCGCAGTCCACTTCACAGGGTGGTGGTTATGGGGAAAATAGGCAGGAGTAATTGGTATAAGTAAAAATTAAAAGGGACAAAAATGTATTAATAAAAACAGTTCTATATAAAGTACTCAGGTGGGTCCTTTGTTTTTTTGACTTCAGGGAAAAGAATACATTTTAATTAATCCTGCCTTTAATCAAATATTTGCTGTGCTCTCTGTGGTTAATATTTACATCCTAAACCATTACCAGGTGCACATAAAGCAAGGCATGTTTTCCTTCTCCAGATAAAATAAGATGAAGATAATTAACCTTTTCTTTGTTAATTGTCATGTTTGGAATTTTTATTGCAGGCTAATTTTGGTAGCATGTTAAGTGCACTTTCAGAAAGTATCTGCCAGAATGGATTTGTTCACAACATGCTAATTTACCACAAATGAATAAATATTACTTCAGCAGTCTTTAGCTTCCTAGAATTCTTATCTTATTTTTCTGAGTTTTGCCTTTAATATTTAGATTTGCTGCTATGTTCTTCCAGTACTTTGTTTCCTGTCTCTTTCATAGATTTATTGAAAAATGATCTAATTAAATGATCTAATCTAACTTGTAAGGTTCAATTAACTGTCTAGATAATATTATTTAGAAATCAATTTGCTTCAAAGTAGTTGTGCTAAGAATTAGGCTGCAAAGCTCTGTAAAAAGTAGATTAATCAGTACTGTGCTGTGGGGTGTTCGTTAATGCTTATCTTGCTATTAGAATAATATGTATTTCACTAAAGCATGCTCTGTTAGAAAAATCATAAGAGTTAGAAATATAGATGTTCATTTTACTGATAAATAATTTTCTAAGAAAAGATATGCTTTTCTTAGGTTTGGATAGTTGGGAGTAGAAGATAAGTCATAGGCTTTTGTTTGTTTCTAATAGCAAAATGGTGGCATGTTATCCAATAACTTTTTTTTCATTCTCAGAGAAAGCCTGCAGTACTGAAAGGAATAGATCTGGGCCCTTGTGTGACCAAATGGACAGTAGATTACCTTTGTCAAGCATCAGGGAAAAAAGAAGTAAAGGTTCATGTTTCCACTGTGCCACAGATGAACTTCCTTAGTAAGAACTTTGTGTATAGGTATTCTGTTCCAAGCTTTACTCTGTTTCTGTAAGTGAGAACTGGTAGCAACTCAGATGTTGCTGTTCTAGTTAGAACATGCCATGCTTAGCTCAAAACAAACTAGAGATGTGCCATTTGAGAAGAAAAGCAAGTAGTTATAGAACTATTTGCATTAATACATCTTATGGCTCACTTAGTTTTTCCCGACCTAGATAGTAGGGATTTTGTACTGACTTTATGTTTTCAGTCCAGCTACACATTTTCATGATGGCTACAGTTGGCAGGCTTTGTGTATAAGTGTCCAAGATCAACTTTTTATATTCTCCCACCTATCTCTTATACAAAACTTGTTTTCCCATCACAGAAATAATTGTACTGTCTTAACTAATGAAGCAAATAGGCTGATTTAATCTTCAAATTCAGTAAATCAAATTATTGTAATTTGTCTGAAATTCCTACAATGTTTTCTATGGCTGCCTTCTCTGTGTCACAGTCACCCATTGCAACTACAATCAAGTCACAGTATACTCTAGCTTACAGTCAGACTTATTCTCATTAAAAAAAATGAAAGCAATTCTGCATATTACTACAAAGAAGATGTTTTAAGATAGTTATTAACAGTCAGTCCCATCTGTTTAAAATATTTTGATAACTTTTATTTTGATATTTAGAACACTGCCTTTTGATGTATTTATAAAGAGAGCAGCTGAAATCAAACATTCGGATTATTTTCTTTCTGAGGTAATATATTATTTTCTTACTGAGCTGATTTTTTTAATGTAGGTTTTTTTTCAGTTACCAAACTACATGGCACTTGATAAGTCAATTAAATATTAATGTGCCTATTCATTGCAATTTATTTTCCTTATGTTTGCATTTTTAAGGATGAAAAGTATTATTTACGATCACTGGGAGATGATCCCCGAAAGGTGAGTACATTGTATATGATACAAATGTTCTCTCTGAGCTATCCTGGATTATCCTTCAATAAGTTTGTGCTTTTTTACTATGTTTAAATAGAGAGAATGGAGAATCATAAAGCTGATAGAGAAAATGATTGATTAGTGTTATCACTATTATTTCCTGGAACAGATCAGGAAATAGATGTTTTTGCAAAAAAAGTTCTATCCTACCCTGCAACTCCCTGACTCATGATTTGGAAAGAGATTTGAAAAACAGTATTTCATTGGACAGTTCACCGAAGTTCTGAGCCAAATGTTATCTTGTTTACCCATGTTAACTTCAGCAATTCAATATTACAACTGCTCCTAACATATTCATATCCTTTTTGTTCCTTTGTGAAATGTATTTCTTCAGAATCTGGAAATGAATGAAGGATTTGAAGTGTTTCAAATGAAGCCAAATGCTTATTGTGCATTATTTGAACTTGTTCAGTCCAAATATGGATAAATTTGATGGCTGGCCTGGAAACTTGCCTTCTAAATATCTTATTGAAAGCCCAAGCTAACCAGAATCTCTTGAATTGAAAAGTTTTTGCAGTTCATGGGGGAGGAAACTAGCAGACTTACAGTTATGGACTAAGGTCCTTTTGTCTTTCTGTAGCATCCTAACACCGTATATACTCGAGTATAAGTCGACCCGAATATAAGCCGAGGCACCTAATTTTACACAAAAAACCTGGGAAAACTTATTGACTCGAGTATAAGCCGAGGGTGGGAAATGCAGCAGCTACTGGTAAATTTCAAAAATAAAAATAATTAATTTGGGAAACGATCTCACTATCATGAAAGGTTTAATTGATTCACTAACCCAAAAGAAGAAGATGACGACAGCGGGAGGCAGGAGTCACTCTCTTCCCCTCCCTCGGAGGCCCCCTGAGTCAGGAGTCGCTACCGCCGGTGCGGCCCCAGTCCTGCGTCGCCTTGGGAAGGGAAAGGCAAAGCGCTTTTTGCCTTTCCCTTCCCGGCTGGGGCTGTTGGGAGTTGCTGCCGCCAGTGCGGCCCCAGTCCCGCGTCGCCT